ATATATATGGATTATTTCTAATTCCTGGGAAGCAACTTATCTTTATATAAATCTCACTGATAATTCAATTCATGAACTTCCATCTCTTACAGATGTTCATTTATTCTTGCAACCTCTGATTAGGGTATTTTGTTTTACTTCCAAGTACACATCTTTTTTTTACTTTCGTCTCCTATACTGTATTTCAAAACCCACTAGGTAATAGCTATTTCTAATAATTGCATTACAGTGCTAATAAAGGAGCACATCGCCTAAACTTTTTATTTGTTTTATTTGATAGCGAAAGATGTCCTGCCAATTCAAGTGTCAACAGTTGCCAGTGAGAGTGCATTTAGTGGAGGAAAGAGAGTAATTGACCCTTGTAGATCATGTCTCCTTCCTCAAACAGTGGAGTCATTGATGTGCCTTCAAAATTGGATAAGAAGTGAACCAATTGGCAACATTGAGTATGAAGCAAGTCCTGCGGAGCTTGAATTTTATCAAGAGTGTGAAGAAGGTAATTATCTTGTTTTTTATAGTTTGGTTTATAACTTTATATTAATTGGTTTACAATTAACGTTTGTTCTTTGTTGTAGAATATAAAAGAAAAAGAGCAAATCCTATATCTACAAGTTCAACCATCTCATCAAGTGTTCCTGAAATTAAAGCAACTCGAACGAATAAAGGAAAAGGAATTGCGGTAATATTTTAAACTCAAATGAATAAATTTTAAATTTCAATAATTCAATTTGAATGAGGATAGATATTATGATGTTGGACGTTAAAAATGTCATGTTTATATTCTATTTTTGCTTACAGATTCAATGAAGATTGTTGTTGGAACTTGGGCGTTGGAACTTGGATGTGATTTTAGATGTTAATTTGAAATTTATTGCGGATGTCATGTTTATGTTGTTTTGGATTATTTGATTCTTGGAATTTGGATGTTTTGGATTTTCGGATATTTTGTATGTTGATTTGATTTTTAGATGTTGGAAGATGTAATATTATTATTTTGGATGTATTGTTAATCTATGAACTTGGATGTTGGACTTTGTATTTAGATTGGATGTGAATAATGGTGAATTTGTGCAAAATCTGCATAAATGTAGTATGTGATTTTCTGCAATTGCAATCTGTGCAGTTTTGCAATCTGTGCAATTTTGGGCAGTTTGCAATCTGTGCAGTTTTGCAATCTGTGCAGTTTTGTGCAGATTGCAATCTGTGCAGTTTTGCAATCTGCGATTCTGTGCGGTTTTGTGCAGATTGCAATCTGTGCAGTTTTTGTGCAGATTGCAATCTGCAATCCGTACAATTTTTTTTTTATTTTTTCAAACAACCAAAAAAAAAAAAAAAAGGACCCGTGGACCTGGCTCGAACCGGCTCGTTTCAACCAGGCCGGGTAATGTCCGATTCTTATATTGGAAAATGTAATCCCCGGCCCGGCCCGCCCTGTTCCCTATCTGATCCTAATGGATTTTCTTTAGCCATGTTGGAGGATGAACATGCTCAGCAAGTAGTAAAGCAGAAGCAGGTTATTTTTCCTGCTCTGATACCATCTTGAATTTCTTTGTTGTGTTTCTTATGTTTTTCATAATCATAATTACAATGTACAGCCACCATATATAAGGAGAAGACCTTCCTTGAATTACGCCACAACTGATGGCTTAGGGAAGGCAAAACAACAACTCCTTAAATTAGGGCATTGACACTATGATTAATGGGAGATGACAACATAGACTCCTATACAAAGGAACCAGACTATTAACCACCTGGGGAACAACCAATACTCGGGGGAAACAAGCTTGAATGGTTGACAAAACCCCTTAAACCCTAATGATACGGAAACCATCCTAATATCTAGGAAACCTTAATAACCACTGGGCTACTTCCAATAGTTTTGTCTTTTTCATTGTAGATTTGGAAATGGAAATTAATAGGAAACAGTTTAGAAAAATGCAATACCGAGCTGCATTTGGTCCATTTTTGAATGTTTTTAATGTTTTGAAATTGAAAATTCAGGAAGAACATCGAGAAATTATAAAAGGAACACCATATTGGGGTCTTTTCAGAGCTTATGATGCACGGTTGGTTAGCGATGATATGTGCAGGAAGACTTATGTAGATATGATTAGAATAATTAATTGTTTCAACGCCGAGACGTCTGAATTCAAATTTGGTGATAGGTGTGAAAATTTTACAGGGTTTGAAGTTGAGGAGTTGCTTGGATTGCCTAACTTCGGTCGGGATATAAATCTTAATGAACGATGTTCAAAGTCTGAGGAAGGTTTCATTAAAAGAAATTTTAAAACGTTTGACAGTTACCAGGAAAAATATTGAATCTGCTATGATTACAATAGTAACAAGGAAAACACAACAGAATCGTGAGGATTTTGTATGCCTAATGTGTTTACATCTTTGTATTACATTATTATTTTGTAATAGTGGTAGTACCATCTCTTGGAACTTAACTTCCCGTTGTAAAGATGTTCGAACAATGGCGGGCTACAATTGGGCAAAAGCAACATTGGATTGTTTGCAAAAACAACTGGTCAAGAATTGCGGAAAACCATCTCATGTATCTGGATGTGCTGTGGTGTTGCCGGTATGTATTGTATGCTAATTGGGTGTGTTAATTTATAATTCATTCTTTATGCTTTGTAATTCGATGACCAGTTTATATTTGTGTGTCAATAGTTTTGGTTTTTCGAGAAAAGTTCATTGGTTGAACCTGTAAGAGGAAGAATGGATTTGGCATCCAAATTTATGAAGTGGGATCTGCAGGTATTGCATGAGGCTATGTCAGCTATTGAAATTGATAGGTTACAGGTACGTTAAAATTGAACTTAACTTTTGTTTTTGTTTTTTTTGTTTTTGGTTTTTTTTTTGTTTTTGTGTTTTTTGTTTTTGTGTGTTTTTTTTTTTTTGCATGTTTTTTTATGAATGTTTTGACGATGGTTATCATTTTGGCTATTTTAGATTAGCAATGCATCAGAGTCACACATGACTAGAAGTTTGAGGTGTGAACCTCACATTATGGTGTCCCCACACAACGACAATGATCAAGACTTTCAGGTATGTAGGGTTTGGTTTTAATGTTTTGTCTCATGTTTTTAATGATTGCGTATTGTAATTTATTGTTTACTACATATATATATATATATATATATCTATATATATATATATATATGTATATAGACACACACACACACACACGCAGAGTATGTAAAAGATGTGCATGAGACCCCTGCCATTGGAATTTTGAATAGCAAGTATCGTAGCTATGAATCTCAACAACCAATTGCGGCCCATAAGTCTTTAGCGAAAAACATGACGTCATCAGTTACAATTGCTAGTGTTACATCTGAAGAGGTAAAATTAGTAATTTTGTGGTGGTATGTTGTTTGAAATTCGTTATATATAGAATAGTTGTATGGTGTAATATGTGTAGTAACTTGTTTACACTCTTACTGTTGGAACTCCAGAAAAATTTTGGTGTTGTGAATCATCATTTGACAACCGGTGTGAGTGGTGGTTCTAATTTTGATGAGATTCGAACGAAAGAGGTGGTGAGTGTTACTTTCGAAAAAGAGTTCGACCCGCCCAAAATGTTTCAACTCATCAGTGCACAAGACAATCTTTACCACAAAGGTGTTCACGAGTGTGAACTTGTTGAGGCACATCATGTACCGAAAGATTCTGAACTTAGTGTGGAACAATGACTGGAAAAGGAACGTTCAGAGAATAAGTCATTGAAGGAAGAGATAAAAATGTTGAAAATTGAAGTTGAGTTAGCGCAACTGCATTCTGTGGTGTACCATGAAATGTGCTGCGATACCAAAAAGCTCTCGTTGCAGATGCATACAATCAGTATGATGATCTGTCGTCCGACCTTACGCAACTATTAGAATGCATAGAAAGGGAAATGGGTGAAAAAACACATGCCTCATTCCCTGAGATCGCTACATGGATTGTAAGGTTGAAAAGGAAACGAAGGAAATCGAAACGCTTGACTGGGTTTGTTTATGATGAGATGAAATCTTGGAGGGAACCCAAAAAGGCGAAGCTTAATGAGATAGTACCTAGTGTTGTGAATCCCGCCGAAAATGATGAGATTCTAGACACTACTAAAGGGAAGGCTCAGATAGGATCAGAAGCTATTGGTCGTCACACAGTCAAAGGGAAACAAAGAATTGGTGTAACACTTACCCTTCATGCATGTCAGTGTGGATGTACTTGCGGAATCATTTCTGCAACATATGTAAGAAAAATGGAAAAATAATTTGCCTACAAGTTGAACAAATGTTTCTTGATTCAAAATATATGACATGGGTGTAGCATATTTTTATTTTTTACCTGTATATATTGGAATTATTTATTTTGCCAACAAATTTATTTTTGCCAATCCTTTTCAAATAATATTGCCTTCAAATTGATGCTGACTTATTTATTTTGCCTACCCATAATATTTCATGTTGGAAACTAAGATAATAATTGGAATACAATTTATTTACCGTTACCAACCTCCATATAAGGAGTGTTTTGACATATACGTTAGAGTTGTATCAAACCTGTAATTTACCTATAAGTCCATCGTTCGCATCCATGTATTATTATATTTGGATTTTCTTTTGGTCGAAAAATGTATTATTATATATGTTTGGTATATATACAAATAATTTGCATCCTTGTTAAAACGGATATTGTATTACACCAGCACTTTGGGTAGGTAAATTGTTGTGCACGCAAAAAAAGGAAAAGTCCGAATTAGTCAAGCGTAAGAGAAGAAAAAACTGCATCTAATCCTAGTTATGACAATTCAAACCCGTTTTGGTAAATATGAACCTATATGTGTAAACAAACTTCTTGATAACATTGATGACGTGGAAAAACAACAAAGAGCTAATTCTGGTGGCAATCAATCAAGATGCCAGAGGCATTCTTTATTGAACATAAAAGAAACAAGAAAATTGAATACACAAACGAAAAAAACACAAACAGTAAAAAGCTCCGAGTTTATATCAAATTTCGGCAGTGCAAGCCTTTCTGTTGTGGTGACCCAGGGTTCCACACCTAGAACATGTAATTGGCCTTGTCCGCTCCCCCGATGATTTGATTCGCTTCACCCTTGGTCTTCCGGGAGGTTTCTTTGTCAATGGTGGATTAATCAGTATTTCTTCATTTTCCTCCTGTGCATGCCTATCGATATCTGGAATCGAAACAATTGTTATATCATAGCAACTCTTAAAAAAATGGGCCATGAAATAGTCTTTCACGTACTCATACGGATTCCCCTGCCACTTAAGTATAGCAGCAAGTGCATGGGCGAAGGGAAACCCTTTGATTTGCCACATTCTACAGCAACACGTGCGGGACTGGAGATCAACCATTTTAGAGTCCTCACCATGCACCTCAAACTAAAACTCACTTGAACGACCAGCATCCCAATGGCGCCCGCATTCCAGCAAATCTTGCATAATGGTCTCCATTTTTGGGCAAAGGAAAGTTTTCCAACCCTCAGCTACACGCCTCCTTTGTGCATTCATCTCCATGATTTTGGCCCTAATTCCATCAAGCATCTGGTATATGGGCAAAAAACGTTGATCGACAATCCATGCATTAAAGGATTCAGCCACGTTTGAACACCCTTCGCCGTATTTTGGGCCTGGATAATGAGCGGCTGCCCAACTTTCTTTTGGAAGCGTTTTCAAGGATTCAGCTACGTTTGAACACCTTTCGCCGTATTTTGGGCCTGGAAAATGAGCGGCTGCCCAATTTTCTTTTGGAAGCGTTTTCAAGAAGTCCCTCATTACAGCACCACCTTCCTCCATTAACATCCTCAGATGCATTTCAAATGCATCCTCGGTAGGAGCATATGCACATTTCCCAAAAAGCTGAATGATCTAGTCGCGATACGACTTAGCCAGGGAGGATGGGTACTTAAGAAGTATGTTTTGCTTCGAATGGTGGTAACAAAATGCATGCGGTGATTTTGGAAATACTGATACCACTGCTTCGATCAACCCCTTTTGTCTATCAGATATGAATGTAAAGGTTCTTCCTTGAAGAGTGACGATTTTTGACAAGTTTTGGAGGAACCAAGACCAGTTCTCTTCATTTTTAGAGTTAACAACCGCAAGGGCTAAAGGATATGTACCTGTTTCATATAAGACAGTATGTTATAAATATAGTAGTATTGTGAACTGGAAATATAGGCAGAAAAAATAATTTGACACCAATAAAATTTATACATAGCAGTGGATAATCGTCCAACAAAATGACCTAGTTTATATACTGATGAACATATACAGTATGTAACACACACATAATTTGTAGGGACTATATGTTCTCCATATATATGTAAGACATGATTGAACAAATGTATTAAGAAAATAAAACAATACATAAATATATCATATTTGGATATACCTTGGTTTCCACTTTTCCCAGTAGCGGCAAGCGACATAGGCCTGGAAATATAAGGGTTGGTAAATTAAGAGTTGCCACATATGCAATTCAAGGAAAATGAGAAATGATGTAAAAAAAAAAAAAAATATGAAGAATCATAATTTTCTTACAAAATGCAAATCCCTCTATGCAACCATGGAAAGATACGAATATCCTTTTAAATCGGGAAGATTCTGCATTGCACTCCAACACACAATGTGAGCTAGGATTTGAACTTTCAATTGCTCTGACGTACCAAGCCAAGTGATTGTATGACAACGATTCGTCACCATGCATCATTTTTTCGGCTGATTCCTTCTCGTACCACGCATTATAGTATGAAATATCCAATCCATAATATTTCTTAAAATCCTTTATGATCTCAGTAGGCTTCAACATTGGCTTGGAAGAAGCTTGCTCCATGAGAATGGATGAGACGACTTTGGATGACATCATGCCACCCTTCCGTTCACAAATCAACCCACTGCAAGTCTGTGCGTGTTGTTCAATGTACGAATATAAAAAAAAAAAAAAAAAAACCATTGGCATGACACAAAGTAGCATGCACCCACCACATACAACCTTTAAATAGTTTTTTAGAACACTCAGATGTCACTCTCTCCCTTTCATTAAAAAAAAAAACTATGCTAAACCCCTTCTCGATGGAATACTTACGGAGCTTGTCTCTAAATTCAGAGACACCCCCCCCCCCCCCAAGTAAACCTTTGCCCAACCCGATTAATATAGGTTTTTCATGGGCGAGATAGATAAGTTTGTGGCAGTGGTGCAACATATTTTCCAATGCAATCATTGGTGTTACTAGGTGTAGCACCATCCCAAACGTTAAAGGAAAATCTATTCCCATTAACACCACTATTACCTTCACATGGTGATTGACACCCGTTAACAATAATAGTCAGTGAATTTTGCGTGTCATTATAACGTAACAAATGTAACACATGCACATCTAAATCAAATTTTAACAAGCATGGAGGATGGTCAGGGACAACATAAGTCATTTGGAATTCCTCAACTATGAGCTCATCAATTCGCCTCTTTGTGCATTCATCTCCATAATTTCATACATTAATGTCTTTTGATTTATTTATTTTTTTTATTTCTCAAAGTCATTAACTCTCCCATATAATTTGCATGTAATTAATTTTCATAAATCAAACATACAATAGGGGTATTTTTGGCATCCAAAATATGTAAAATGTATCAAGTTCAATGTAATTATTGAAATTGCTTATGTGGATCCTAGTCGCTGGGTTTTTCTAGAGTAAAAAAGTCATGTTAGGTTTTTTATGTGTAAAATTGAATTCTAGGGACTAAAGTCATATTTTCAGTAAGAGTAAATCTCAGTTTACTACTCTGCCAATTCGATCTTGCAGTTGCCCCCCCTCGTTTGGGGCCACCTCTAGATAAAGCCATCTTTCAATCCACGTGGATGAGTTTGATGGGGTTGAAGAGGGGTCCGGTGGGGCTACTTGTGGTTTTCAGCATTTGGTACATGAAGTTTTTTCCGTCCCAGAGTCATACCTAAAGTGTTAATTTTTGGACAATCTTATACATCCATTAGTCTGGGTTTTAAGTTTCCCGTTAACTGATGACGTGGTGCCCATGTGGACAATGACTGGGCGCCACATGTCATTAAGGGGTCCACATGGAAATTAAAAATGAAAAAAAAAACCAAAATTAAAAAAAATAATAATAAATAAAGATGATTAGCTTTGACCGCTGAGCACCACCTGAAGTAGAAAAAAGGTTGGTGTGGGTGGAGGAAAGCGAATCAACCATTTGATGCAAGGAGATCTAAGTGACCTATTACTAAAAAAGATAATCAACACATCGCACCAATGATTTAAAAAAATTAAAAAATTTCAAGAGATCTGAGAGACCTATAAGGAGGGCAAAAGGGGGATTGATGGACGCCCAAAGTCCTCCCTCATGTTCTCCGCTGAGCATCACCTTTAGCCTAGCACATCACAGCAACACATCGCACCAATGAAGCTCTCTGCCATTGGAATAGCAGACCAAATCCAAGGACCACGCACTGCAAGGTGCAGAGTCGGGCCCAAGCATTTTGTCGGGTCTGTGTGATCTTCCTCAACGAGGTGAAGGCCTTCTCGATTTCAAACACAGGGAGACCGAGTTGGGTTGGGTTAGGTATGGAAGGATTAGGAGAGGGATGGGTCAGGTTTGGGTATGGACGGACTAGGGGAGGGATGGGTCGAGTTGGGTTGGGTTGGGTATGGAAGGACTAGGGGAGGGATGGGTCGGATTGGGAGAACGACAGGTGTGAATGGGGAAATGAGCGGAGGAGGGAGACCATGGTGGTGTTGATTTTTAGATCAGCTTTGGTGGTTGTCAAAGAGAAGAAGAAAAATGGTTGGTGCGGGTGGAGGAAAGGGAAGGCCCGCATCCCTAGGTCATTTTTCATTTGTTTAGGTTTTTAATTTTTAATTTTTTTTAATGTTTTGGTTTATTTGAAATTTAGGTTTTTTTTTAATTTTTAATTTCCACGTTGACATCTTAATGACACGTAGCGCCCAGTCATTGTCTGCATGAGCGCCACATCATCAGTTAACAGGAAACTTAATAGCCAGACTAAATGATGTATTAGACTGTCCCAAAATTAACACTTTAAGAAAGACTCTGGGACAAAAAAGAACTTTTTGTACTAAATGTTGAAAATCACGAAACTTGAGAGTAGTAAACAAAAATTTACCCTTTCAGTAAAAAACCAAAAAAAAAAAAAAAAAAAAAAACCAGTTACGGATTGTTGTACTGATGGAACCTCATGATCAGCGATTGCAACAATGGAGATGAACGTGTTTGTTTGCACCTTCACACCGAGAGGAGATCACCTACATCAATGCCAAGACGGGCTCGGGAAGATTGTTGATGACGTTGTGAAAGGCGCGACGATCGTTGATGACGCTCACGGAGGAAGGCAGTAGCGATATCCCTCCACATGCACGTGTCTCGAATCGTGTCTAGCACGCAAGGCTAGCAAGTTTGCTGCACCACCAAGACTCATTGCTAAACAAGTAGGCCAAACATGTAGCCCTTCTTTATAGTTGAAAATGAGTGATGCCCACGAGCATTCCTATTTGATTGAAAGCTATTTAAGGCAAATATTGAATTTGATAATATTCATTCCAAAAGTTGGTATATACGAATTGAAAAAAAAAACAAAAAAAAAAAAAGAAGAAGAAAAGATATAGCTGCACAATGGGAGTGCTAAGTTGAAGGAAAACAATAAGTGAAAAGAAGAGTGATGGCATTGGCGACTCAAATCCAACCCGAAAAATACGAGAGATTTTTCATTGTGATCGGAACACGGGATTGTATACTATATAATTCTATACAAATGGTGGGATATATATGTTAAATAGTTAATAGTTTAAAAAATAAAATTTCTCACCACTTATATAAAAACACCACTCGTGTTTCTATCATAATGAAAAATTACTCGAAGAATACATAAAATGACGTCATTCTAGTAATTGTGGCAAGTAATTAGCGGGATTGCTCTATTCGTAGAAAATCAATCAAATTCCTCAATAATGTGCACCGATTACAAGGGTATTGGCACGGGGCTGCTGACTTCAGTTATAAAGTTCCCTTCATAATTCCTATCTAAATTAGGAATGGGATTGCAAATAGAAGACAAGAGTTTGCCGCATGCAAATTCAAGGGGTGGAGTTCACAAGAGGAATGATATCCTATGCAAATTCAAGCCCTAAAACACAACTGCAACAAAGCAATTGGAATGGCCCTCACGTGACCATTTGAAATATTGCATGCATGGGATTAAGCTGCTGGACAAAGGCACACTGGCTCAAAGTGACCAAGAGACAACTTCAACGGCATTAAAACATGATGCTTTCGTACGACCACAATTAAGTGGATTTGAATCGCTACAAATTCTTTGGATGTGAACCACGACAAATTAATGGACCAATGTCCCGTTAATTACCAAATTAATCAAATGGCATAAAGTCACCCTAAGAATTTGAATTCGATCTACATTGGTTTGATCCCACAAAGGGTATGTAGGTACTCTAGTACCAAATTCTAGACACAACCACAATCAAACCCAAATTCATATTCAAATACTTGTGTTCTTCATCATGCTCGTGGAAAATCAACAAGCACAACAAAGTGTCGATTCATCCACCCCAAAGACGCAAACCACCCACCACGTGAAGCTCCTCATGGCCCTATTTCATTCAAGATCAAGCTTCAACGGCCCTTGAAGAAATCACAAGTTTGATTCAAGATCAAGTGTCCACCACCCTTGAATCAAAGTCGACTCCAGAGAAATGAAGTAAATTAGAACCTCTGGAGGAAAGCTAGAAAGCTCTCTGGCCAAAGCTAACACTCAGTGTTCTTCATCAAGTTAGTGGAGAATCAACGAGCGCAACAAACACGTGCCGATTCATCCATTGCCAAAGCCGAAGATCACCCACCACGTGAAACTCCTCGTGGTCCTGTTTCATTCAAGACCAAGCCTCGACGTCCTTTTAAGAAACCTTCAGCCTAATTCAAGACCAAGCCTCTACAGCCCTTGAAGAACTTCTAGCCCAATTCAAGATCAAACCTCGACAGCCCTTGAATCGACATCTACGTCGAGGGACTTCAAAGCATAGTGGTCAAATACATTCACTATGCGAGGACTACAAAACACATCTTCTACCCCCTGCAGATTTTACCCTATCTATACCTGGAGCCAATTCCCTATCGGCCACGTGACAAGCACATGCATAAGATGCCTTTTGTTTTTGTTTTTTGTTTTGTTTTTTTTTTCTTGAAAGTTGCGGAATATATTTCAAAAGGACAAAGTCCATGGATACCAGTATAAAAAAGCTAGGAGTTAACACCAGCAATGAGTCTAAACAAAAATAAAAGGTTGGAAAAAGAAACCATTACAAAAAAGCATTAGTTACTGCTTTCAGATAGTAAGATATCAAGAATAACGTCCGATGGTTCCTCGAACCAAGCATGATCACATGAGGATGAGAGAGCAGAGTGTGCAAGACGATAAGCAGCCTTGTTTCGTTGGTGACGAGCATAGGCAATAGAAGCTCCAGTGAGCTCGGTCAACATAGCTTTCAAATCTTCGACAATATGCCCAATAAATGACATGTCGAGGAAAACTGAATTTAATGATAATATGATCTAGAGTGAATCAGACTCAAGGATAAAATTTTGCCAACAACAACCCTTCATGAGCTGCAAGGGCTTCAATGTGAATAGGCAATGATACATACTCGAAGGTCCTGATGCAAGCTGCTACAAAGCCCTTATCCTTATCCTGAATGACCACCACAATTCCTCCTACCATCTAGCAAGCCGCTTCAATGGTTGGGGATAATGTCATGGTAGATTTTCCATACTTTGGCCTTAACCTTGGGGAGAACTTTTGCTGCCCAGATCTTCTTTAA